TTCCGGTTCCTGCGGAAGACGCTCGCCCCCTTCACCTTTCCATTGACAAGCGAAATCGAATCCAAGGAAACTGGATTGTGATTTTTTAACCATTTCTGTCAGTGCACTTTTGGTCTAAATTTGAAATTGATTGGGAAATACTGAAAAGATCGTTCAGGGAATTTTAATCTATCATCGTGATTTTATTTTGATACAGTGATTAAACTCTTTTTCTATATTTGCGAACGAGTCAATCGATAAAGCTATTTTGTTCAGTGTAATAAAGTAGCGGTAGTTATTTGTGTCAGAAGCTACCGAAACATCCTTTAAACTAATGGTTTTTCGCGAAGTCAGCTCGAAGCTTCTTTACTCGTAGAATTATTATAATAAAAAGTGATTTACCACTTCGGCATGGGACATTTATACTCGTTCAGAAAGCGTGATGCAAAATAAAAGGAGAATTCCTGTTGCACGAATAATTATGATGGGGTGCGGTGCGCGGTGATAATAACCATCGGGCCAAGGCTCCGCAGCCAGCCGTCCTAAGGCGTCACCTTGCCCCAGTCAAGCCCCGCGGTTAAGCCGCGAGACGGCTAACACCTCGCCGCCTCGGCGATGTCCTCGTTGACGCGGGAAAGGAAAGTTCTGCGTGCTAAGTGTATTATAAAAGGCGTGGGTGGCCGTCATCCGACAGGTGGCTGCGACAGCTGACCGCGTAGGAAGCCTAATAATGGACCACCGAAGGCAGCCAGCGAATCAAAGCGCACAAATTGCGGAAGCTCGCGACGCACGATTAATCGCGACATTATTGATCTCATACGATTTGATTGGACCTTAAGCGGACACGTTCGTTCCTCGGAAAACGAGCGCATTCCTCGAACGCTATTCTTTCTTCGCAGCTTAACACGTTTTACTTACTTCACTGTCACATTAATTCACGATCAACGAGCACTCGAATGACCAGCCTTAGCTTTAGCGGCATTTTCTTTCTGAAATGTTACATGCGTCGTTAACAAAGACAGTTATGCCTGTCCGTTTTTCAAAAAAGAATGCGCGTTCTCCTTAGAAACAGTCGTTCTACATTCGCATTGCGAAATTGGTTAACAGGTTTGATCTAAATTTTGTAACTTCGTCGGATCTTCATATTTTGGTATCATTGCATTTTATCTTCTTTCGTGGTGTCGCTCTGACGTTGGCTTGTGATGATATTTGAAAAAATCGATTTTAAACGTTTTTTGGAGTGGTGTGAAGTTTCAACTTGAGCGGGCTCAACGTTTCGAACGTTTTGTTCAGCGAGACGACGAGGATATCGGACCGCAAGTCGCTTGATCAGCGGTAAATCGATCCGCCTGCAACCGTAAAAATTCCGCAGGCCTCGTCCCAGTCACGAGGACGCTAAGCCGAACGGCAAACACGATCGACGAAATCTCGAGATAGTTTCGCGCGATCGTGAAACGAAACCAGCCGCGCCAGCAAGTTCATCGAACCGCCATCACGTTTTTTACCGGGCACCGCGCACGTGCCTATCGTCCTTCGAATCGGTGCTCTGGACACTCGGCTCCTCGGTGCAGTTTCGGTACCTCCAGATTTCGTGTTACCGCACTGCCCCGCGAAAGGGAAATGAACCGGCGCGCCTCGAATCGATTCACCGCGCCGCTCGCGATTATTCGGACAACAGCGATTTTGCAATTTATCCTATATTCAAAGACGTCCACATTTATAACAATCGTTTATATAGGATAATGTATAATTATTAAAAAATATAATGATAACAATGTAATTTTTTTTAATAATACAAAATTGTACGATTTTTATATTGGAATTTTATTGAAAAGGATTATGAGAGAATATTATTTTTATGAGAAGAGAGTAAAGTAGAAAATTAAAGAAATTATTAAATGTATATGTGATCAGATATCAGTAAAATTGTTAATAATCTTTTATTGCTCGTGTATAACTGTCGTACGCAACGTTTCATCATTTGAACACTATTTCTTACGAAGAAGTCAAGTTTGTGAAACAAATATAACTTAATTAATTAGTATATACATTTCTACGGGACGTAACATAAATTGGTTCACTTCAGATTAACAGGGAAATTAAAGCCGTTCTAACTCGACCGACGGTGCACGAAACCTTGAAATCCGAGCCTATTCAACGCGTTTCAAATAAAATACACAGGACATTCTACGAAACAAGGACGCTAGCTCCGAGTTCAACGAAAGGAGTAACCTCAAGCAAAAATGCACATGCAAAAAGATTGCACATATGATCTACCCATACACACGCACGAGTGCACGCGAAACAACACGACGATCACCCACAGAATAAAATCAATTCACCGCCGAACGCTGCGTCCGCCGAGCATCAAGAGCAATTTCCACGAACAAAGGAGGAATCCTGTGACGAGTGCGCGAAACTGCATCATGCCACGAGTACCAGAAAACTCCTGAAATCGAAGTCGATTAAAGAAACG